AAAGCCCCGATTAATTCCGCAAGTACCATTGCAAATCTGAAATACAGAGCAACAAACAATTTTCTTTTAAAACGCTTATATTAAATAAGTTTTTATAAGAATATTAGTTTTTAAATTTCTTCTGTGTTACTAAAGCTAAATTGTGTGTAAATTAATATGCTCTTAATTATTATTATTATTATTATTCTTTATTGCTATTACACTAATACAGAGATATATCAAAGAATACAAGATTATTTCGATAGCAGGAGGCTAGGCGTCAACGACATGCTGCTATTACGCCTACCTGTTTTGACATTACGTAATGCTCATAAGTGAGTTTAATTTTTAAAAGTATTTATGACAAGACATTATACGAAAAGTAGTATACCAGCGGAAATACACGCGTACACCATGCATCTATGTACACGAGTACACGCACACTCACCCATCTACACACATCCTTACAGCATTAAGCCGATTATCGAAGAGCTATTACAGCCATCACATTCATTTATTCACGCACACAACGCACACTCATACACTTTGTATTAATTCATCATAATCGCATAGGCACGCCGAGTTATTCACGTATGACATCTCTCATTACGAAGATATCGTCCGAAAAGTTAGTCCAACGTATGAATGTATGTTGGTGAGGCAATAAAGCGTGCCATGGAAGCGCGAAAAACAGATAATGAGGAGGATTTGATGAATAGAGCTGGTAAACTATTATAATATTTGACTGCGGTGTAGAAGAAAGAGGCTCGAAATTTAGCAAAATGATGGGATGGAAAGGACAGAAAGTCCTAAGAACGTAAAGGGCATGTGAAGAGTTAAAATCGACGTTGGAATAGAAGAGACGACGAAGGTGGTAACTGTAAATTCGTAATTTTCAATTTGCTGTATATATACTATTGTATAATTCATGAATATTGTGAAGAGATAAATTTATTGAGCTCGTTATTTATCAATCGATTAGTTCTTTGACGAAATAAAAGAGTGCGAATTATCATGAATAAGTAGATACTTTTTTAATATTTTCTAATTTTCTTGTATAATATTTGTTATAGCATATACTGGGTGTTAATATTCATATTTATTCTTATACATACGTACTCAGAAAATGAGAATGTTAATTATTGTTATGAACTTTAAATTGTCATAATAGTGTTAATTGTGGTAAATAACTTCTACCAAATTTTTCGTAATGAAATCCTGTGAGTAAATATCCAATTGCATTTTTACGTTTGTAGAAATCATAAAAGAATGAATCTATAAATATAGACTCTCTAGGACAAGAATTGTTAAAGTAAAAATAAATTTTTGTCGAATTACCATCATGAAGCATCAAAAAATCATGAATTACAAATTACGAATTGCAAACCAGGAAGAATCATATCCGCTAACAACGAATTTCTGAGAATCTTATACGAATATAGCGATTCGCGAATCAAAAATCACTAATTGCGCGTAATCTGGTGCTAATTTGATGCTTGTGCCTATTCGGAATGCATTTAAAAATTACATCGCTTATATAAATAATATTAAAGAAAACGATTTAATGAGAAGCTGCTGATATGAAAAACAGTAAATATGATGTCACAAAATGTCCCGATATATTTGCAATTTAAAGGCGTTACATAACTGTAATTATGGACTTGTCAAGAAAATTTTCCGCTGATCAAAGTATTACTATATGTATTAATGAATTTTTTATATACATAGTTCTGGCAGAAAAATAATGAGACTGCAGGTATCGCTGCGCACAAACCGGTAATACTGCGAGCTTCTTCTTCATAAGTCGTGAATTATTAATAAAATATGCGAACACAAAATAAATTCTAAAAAATTATACTATATAATTAAAAATTTTTTAAAATTTCTTTTTTGCTATCTTACTTCTAAAGTAGACTTATAAGAATTATAAACTGATATTAAATTCTGTGTTACATATGTATATTCTACAGTAGATATTAGGTAAATATCGCGATTTAAATAATGCTATATTCATTATAAATTAGACTCATTCATTTAGTTTGTATGTAGCTAATATTAAATACAGCTACATCACTTTTGTTATATGTGGCAGGTTGTATATTATAATATAATATTACTTGTGAGCTGTGACGGACGACTGTGATCACCTAGGTGTAATATATTTTTAACTTGATATTTGTGCGATAGTGTGCTTAGTTTTATTATATTTTGTTTGTATGTCTTAATCGAAAGACACCAAACTGACAATGAGTATGCATATATGCATGAGTATATAGTCAGTGTATTATAATATAATTAAAGATAGTCAGTGTATTATAATAATAATTAAAGAAAAATATTAATTTAAATATTCCATAAACATACTTAAATAATACATTTATTATGACATGATTTATTATGAACTGCGAAGTATACTCTGTATACAGAGTGTTCCAAAACTCTTAATTAATATTTTAAGGGGTAAAAAAGAATAAAATTTAGAACTAAAAGTTCATTTACCAATTTTGACTCAGACCATTATTTACAAAGTTATTAACAAATAAAGTTAATCAATCAGATCGCGCTTAGCCGGAGTATGAAGAAGCGTATCATGCCATGCGGCTCTTCGCGCTTACTTCTCTCGATTAAAATGTTATTCTAATTTTTCATATTAATAAATAAGTAAAAATTCTAATAAGTTCTTGATCGTTAAATTTTTCCTTATTGAAATAAGTAAATAATAAATAAGA